CAAATTTGATGAAAATCAGGATTTTGCACGAGTTAGGTCAATACCTGTTTATATGTTAAAGCCTGATGAGATATATCAAAAATAATTTCTTTACAAATACTTTAAAATGACTGAATGCAACCATCCAAAGTGTATAAGTAAAATGGGGTGTGCTGGTAATTGTATTTAAAAAGGATCTATTTGATTTGTTGGTGAACTTAAACAGATGTAGATGTAGTCGTTTTGGGTCATTATAAAAGCCACTAAAGATTTAACTGGATATCATGTGTCATTGCACAACCGTGTAATAATATTTTGCGCATTACACCTAAAAATATATCATTCACTTTCAATTTATAGATGACTGTCGTTGGAAAGGTTTTGAACCAATATTGATTTACTACATGCCATGTATGTTTTGAATAAAACAACTCACATCTCTGGTAGAATAAAAGACTTTAAATCCACTTGATCCTCATATACAGAATAATATTTTCTAAATACAGATACTGTGAAAACAATCTGAGCTTCAATGTTTCACCCATGCTTTTGTATAACACATAATCCAGGAAATAGGGTAAATACTACCTAGGTAAATGTAACCGGAATTTTTCTTAAGGGAAAACACCCACATACAGTAGGGAACACTCTATCAAAATTATCTACAATTCTGTTGGACGGAAGTAGATTCGCCCAACTTCTAGCCCCTTATTTGTTGCTTGAAAGTGCAATTTGGGGAAACTTGATTTTTCACCTGGTCACTCACCCTCTATTCCGGAGTTCAGCAGCGTGAAGGTGATGTATTAGAGCCAAACGGAACTAAACATCTCTTGTTGCCTTAACAACATGCTTCATATTTCGCCCACCTGATCACATAGGGATATTTTGGTGGAACAGAATAGTTTGTTTTATTGATGAGAACATAAACTGTAGCAGTTTCTTTTTCTTCCGTTGATACATTATGATTAACAGGGATTTTTTCTATTTATTATCATATTTCGATCGATATCTACGGTATTGCTAATGATGCAACGGGCTTATGCGAGTTGCAATGATCTTCAAATGCACCTATGTACCAACAATCCAAGGGATCAAAACGTGATTTGGACCCTAACAGCTGTGAAGCATTCTAACACCAATAATTAATAAACATGTAAAAATTGCCAACATACTTTACTTGTGCTCGGATAATCGAGTAATCACTAGCCATATGTCATGTCCCGTTGTGCAACCATGAATTCGGGTAGTGTGCTGATGGTGCTTTTGCTGCGCAAAGTCCAAGGTCGCTTGGCATGCCTCTGACGGGAGGATGTGATCAGGGTGGACAACCGTCAATTCTCCTGTTACAGGTGAACTATTCGATCGATCGATGAATGCATCCGATCGAGCAATTGTTTTTGGAGGATAGGTTATAAGTCCTATGGTGCTTTAGCTTTGTAAAAGAATCATCACAAGATGATTGGTTACAAACTATGTGACCAAAACATTGTGGTCTTCGTCGCTGTGTGAGCGTCAGTAGCCGTATAAAATTAAAACGCCGTTTTCCGGCCTTTTAATTTGAAACTGACGCTCTATCATCCTCGCAGAATGGCTCTTAGGAACCAGTGGTCGAGGAAGTCTACTCAAACGAGTGTCATTCATGGAGCGATGCGCCGTCTGGACGATTCGGAATGGAAACATTCTATACGAAGATTACATTGTAATGACACTGTATTGGTCTCAGACACAGGCACCATTTTCTAAACGGGTCCGTAAAACGATTATCATATTGGGCACTGTCCTAAATAGGAACTAAAATATTCACTAAGATAGGTTAACGATAACTTGAAACTATCCCTAATATTTTTCCAATCGGTTACTCTTGCTATATTAGAGATAGATTTTCTCAAGAGAAGACAAAAATAAAGCAAAACAACATCTCTTTCCATAAAAGGTTTTCAATATGTTTTTCATCCTATTGCTTGCATAGCCGAATACGTCGAACATAGTTTTATGCCACCCAGAAATGAGTACCCCATGGAATACTTTCGCACTACGCGGTGGTAATGTGTTGCAGTTCCCCGATCACCCTGGGTTTTGGGAATTAAACTCTTTTCTTTAGATATACCCAGAAAGTAAAATCCAGGAGATACAGATGAGGTGACCTTTAAGGCCATTCCTTCGGTCCTACTCCGGTACATGGGAATAAAGTGCAGCACTATCTTTCTAAGCAAACCAGGAAAACAGATATTATATGGAAGTTCATTCTGAATTCACTTTACAAAAAAACAGCGATCTGATCGAATCAATCGAAACCTTTGAATGCCTGACCTCAATCAGGCGACTCTACATCCCATATAAAAGAGAGATAAAACTGCGCGCCGACATGTTTCTTGAGTTTAGAAAAAAATCAGTCCAACTAAAAAGGGCTGCTTTTATCTACAGCATGGTTGCAAAACCTGGTCAATAAGAGTCGAAGACGATTGATGATTAGAAATTTTTGATCGCTAGTTCCTAAGAGCCATTCTGCGAGGATGATAGAGCGTCAGTTTCAAATTAAAAGGCCGGAAAACGGCGTTTTAATTTTATACGGCTACTGACGCTCACACAGCGACGAAGACCACAATGTTTTGGTCACATAGTTTGTAACCAATCATCTTGTGATGATTCTTTTACAAAGCTAAAGCACCATAGGACTTATAACCTATCCTCCAAAAACAATTGCTCGATCGGATGCATTCATCGATCGATCGAATAGTTCACCTGTAACAGGAGAATTGACGGTTGTCCACCCTGATCANGTTCCTAAGAGCCATTCTGCGAGGATGATAGAGCGTCAGTTTCAAATTAAAAGGCCGGAAAACGGCGTTTTAATTTTATACGGCTACTGACGCTCACACAGCGACGAAGACCACAATGTCCGCAAATCGCAGACAATCATTCAGTCAGATTCTGGAAAGGATCAGAGGAAAATGAATGGTTTCAGGCCCCGAGTGAGACGGACAGGGGGAAGAAATTGCACTGTGTACCGTTTCAATTATTTTAACGTGACCTAGATTTTCTTTATTTTTCATAAAATGCTTGTTCTTGGAGTCAGAATTTTCAGTGTTTAGGAACGTTTCCATTTTTATATTATGCTTACGCACCAAATTCTAGTTTGCGAGGGAAAAATCAATTTTATCCTGAATGATTTTTGTAAAGACCGCGAAATGTTTACACAATATTCCGTCATTAAATGATAAAAGAAGTATCTCGTAGTCAAATACAACCACCTCTACGAATCATACGTTAATAACATCGTACATGCTTAGGTGGGAACCGAATGCGAAAAATCCACATTCCAAATGTTCTTGTTCATTGATAATTCTAGGTGTCCAAAGTGAACCGACCTGTAGACTTTCTCATTTGCAAAAACGTTCCTCATCAGCAAATCACAAACATTATCCGTGAGACACAAACTGAGAATGAAAATGAATCAGAAAAGCATTTTATTAGGGGGCACGCCCGAACATTACAATTCACATGAAATATATTGACTCACGATATAGCAGAGGGTTGACGCTTTGAATGACAAGAACAATCCCAAATCGGCAGAGGATTTAGTTGTTTCCGGTTGGAGTATTTTGGTGATGAAAGCACTGGGAGTGTCATCTTTTATCATAGACAGTTACCTAACCGGATTCAAGTATAATCCGGTGATTGGGATATCCATTTGTGCATCTCAATTAACAATTTGATTATTTCCAGAACATGCATGAATAAAAAATATGATTGAATGCGAAAAATACATGGAAGAAAATTAAAGGTAAATGGAAAAACGGTACAGAACAGGTCACAGTTTTGGACTACAAAACAAACTGATAATACTCAAGGAATTGTCTGAAATTCGCTGTGTACAATCCTGTTTATTCGAACTGCTATACAGCAATAATGTTAGAGGACGGCCATTTTGGCGTTCTCCTTTAATGCTGACTCAAGATAGGGGTAAACATCGAAGCTGACCGAATGAGTTCTGTGTCAGATGCGCTCGTGATGCGTGTTATATAAGTCAGATAGCGGGTGTGCAACCTATGTGGTTGACTGTCGTCACCACGCTTGTTTAACTATGGTCAAACCGGATCAAAAAAGAGCAACAACCTGGCTTACTGGATGCCCCGGGGAATCTAGACACCGCTTTCAAGAGAGTGTATTGGATATCCCATGAACTCCTGTGTGTTCATTTGCGCACTCTAGCAGTGGCCAAGACCTTGAATATAAGGGTCTGTATGCCTGACCGTTACACCAAACGCATGTGGTTCATCCTTTCGAAAATAGTAACGCGCTCGGTGATTAACTAGTAACAGGCGAATCTACCGTTCACTCATCCAGAATTTATCAAACAAAGAGACCGAATAAAAACAAAGATGATTTGACCCTGACAATCTATCTATGGCTAGTGGTAACTGTATCTTTCTTCTAGTACTTCTTGCATAATATGAAATAGCTTGGAACAGTTTTCCGGAAAATCAGCTGTTCCACCTAAAAGTGTTTTTTACGTATATTGATCTTGGAATTAAACGCCTGTCTGATTCTCTTCACTGATTCCCGTTATTACTAAATAAATGATGAAACAGATGGGTGAATTCCACATGGGGAGATTTTTACAACGGCCTTTCGCTCACTATACGAGAGCAGATCATTCCAACCAGTCAGATCGATTTCCCTCTAGCACATGGAAAAATCAGGACGATATTTTTACCCCAAATCTAATGTGTAAGCCGAAAAGCATTTTGAATAAACTTAAAACTAACACTTCGGAACGAGTAATGCAAAATTTATCCGGAGGCTTTTATGGAAACAACAAGAGTATGATGAGGCACGTATCGATTCTAAGAATTATTTCCAATTCTAAAGAGGAACTTTGTAATTTGCAGTGAGTCTTAACAATCTTAAGTTTGATACAAAATTGGTAAGGACTTATTTTAGTTGTGGTAGTTGTAAATTTGTTTTTCATTACCATGTTATTTTTATTAAACCAACTCTCCCGTTTCTTTTTATTTCAGACAAACAAGTTGCTTTTGTCGTCCTTGGCGGTGAAATGGTATCCAAAGGTCGGGGTGTGGCACATTGGAAAGCAATGTTAGAACACCCGGAAGAACAAGTTTGCGAATGGCAAGACCTACAACTTTTCTGACTAGCCACACGGTGGCTACGTGAGCAAACTCACACAACTGCTGAACGGAATACCCCCTCCCCTCCCCCCATCATCTGGCAACATCTATGTGTGTGCGTGTGTCGTTTCCCATTAGTGATTTTTCGACAAACGATTGTATCACTAGGCCTGGTCTGTCCAAACGGAACTCATGCCACACTGAGAAAAGAGATATTCGATGATCCGCGGTAAACTTTCAAACCTATTTTCATCGAACAAAATACCGCTTTTTCGATCCATTTGGTATTTTCTCTCTTTCAATTTTCCGACAATAAGATAACGCAAACAGAACCAGACTAAAGCTTGTTGATTTCAAAAGCATGTTTCTCACCTGATTCAAGCTACATTAAAATCGATGAGTTCCGTTTTGAAACATTTAAAGCCATTGTCGCGCATATAAACATATACATAAAAGTAGTGTTATACTTCCACAAGACAGTGCCTGGTCGAAGGTATTTGGTTATTGCGGTTTAAAGTTGGGATATCGATAATTTGGCATACATATAACAAGATATCTCATTCTAAAGATGCCTTCACACTTCCCGGCAGCACAAGGAGTAATAAATGGAACAGCCCGTAGTTATTCACTATAAGTGGTCTTGTTCATTTTTGATCGTTGAACTAAACCGCCAATCACATATTTTTGCGAACTACACACAAGTGTTTCGATCAGGCTCTTTGATTCTGGCTTTTGATCAGTATTCTTCAGGTCAGCAAAAGCGGATTGCTATTGAAAAGAAACGTGACAATTATTATCTTCTGAATGACCGCACTAATTTCTATCAAATGCGAATCATCGTATTTACAGATTTATCGCCTATCATGCATTGTATTTGACAATGAGCCCACATATATGTATGTACCGGTGGTCTTGATGTGGTATTAACTACAAAAACCTCTTGTAGTTTGTACAAATTGGCTTTAGATTTCCAGACTCATTCATAACGAGCAGTCAGTCAGATCTAAATGACAATTTTGTCAGTTAAATAATTTTAATGAGAATAAAGTTGAAATACTGACCAATATTTACAACAGTTAGTCAGGTTGTGAATGTTTCCAACCTATTCGCAACCCTAGAGTCTGTTGTAGCGATGAGCGAGATGCGATTTCCTCAATAAGCTTGTAAAGTGGGCTTGTGCTATATGGTGTTTATTAAAAATGAGGAACAATGTGATCAGCTGACCGATAGCCGAGTAGTTAGTTTGCTTGCGTTCCACGGTCTCGGGTTCCGTTACCAGTTGAATCGATGAATTCGCACTGTTCATAAGACCCATCCAGGTCAAAACAGCTGTCCAGTGGTTCGTACTTTTTCAGCTTACGCCTCATTTGAACGAAGAATCCATTGGGTGCTCAAATAAAATCCTTCATTCCTCCTCTTTGACCAATGTTTTTTTAAGTTTCAAGAACTGCTCGTCCAAATCAACGGTAAATGATACAAATGGAGAACACGAATGTTAACAGGTCGTTCATTCTCATCAAGCGCTGATATATGCTTTTTGGAGTTTTCCTCCATGGCTTACAAATGTGGGCTTGTGAAAACACTAGCTCATCAGGTGGGACACATGCTTTCTAGATACAAGGCAGAAGAAGAATTTGTATGAGGAAAAAAGCCAAACCATGGCTACTGAGAAAAATTAATTAGTATCCATATTGGGCAATTCGAAAAAGACGAGACATCCCAAAGTGTTAGAAAAACGACCGTTTACATAAACCGTGCTTTGAAGGGTGATCACGTCTTCAATGCCCTGCGTTTGGAGTTGAAACAAGCTTCACAGACCACACATTTTCAACCACTCAACTCAGATTCATAGCCGCTCCGTGAACACGGTTGACAAATCGGTTCCTATAAAGTGACAGCTTTGTTCTTGTCTGTTGTTATCCTCCCCAAATGATTGAAGAGATAAAAATGCATTGATAGACTGATGAAATTGGCGTTGACATTGATGCATTTTATCATTATTATTATTATATGGTATGACATTTAGTTATTCATTGTTTTTTATTGATAGGAGCTCAAGAAAGAACAAACAATGGGTTTTTTGTCACCAGACCTCAAAAAAGACAAAAATAAATTACTTTCACCGAATCAAGAAAGAAACATTGCTGGAATTAATGGCAGAACTTAAACCTCAATGGTTTCTCATAGAGTTAAAACCACATTTTTCGGAAGCCGACAAACGTTTTATCTGTCAAACTAAGAGCAACAGAGAGCCTTATTATTAGAGAAACGATGTACAAACTTCCTAAGTAGAACCCAAAGAAGATCGTCAATCCGAAAGAACATTGGGAGCCCGTGTGATAGCATGGAAAAGGCCACTGTTTTGTCAAAAGTGAATTAAGATACGGTTTTCTTTCCAGAGACTTCAGATTCAGTAAAACGTTTTCCAAAAGTAAATAAAAAACAATGTCGTCAATCTATTCTTTGTTTATCAAATAGTTTCGCTTGCTCAGTTGCATTACAGTGCCTTTCAGATAAAAATGTGCAGATTTGTGTTTAAGTACTTTTATTAAATTGGTTTATATCGTAACCCGCCGTTTAAATAGGTATTTGTACCACCCACTGAAGTCTGCGTTGGGCATTCCGGAGGTGACTTTCGTGAGATTTGACTTCGAAGGTAAACGTGATCCGATTTGATCGAAAATAGACCGATTTACCCCGAGGAGAAATGCACCAATGGAATTTCACATTTTTGAAATGGGCAAGCATGCAGCATATCTCAAGTCGAATATAGTATACGACTTGTTAACAATTTTTCTACGTTAGTTACTTTCATGTTTCTCAATTTTCATATGCAATGAATTATGAATTAAAGATTAAAGGAAATGAAAATCACAAAATCCGATTCGGTTTTTTTGCTGCACATGCATTATACACTTGTGTTAAATTTCCAATAGGGCATTCTTTTGTTTTGTTTTATTTTCCTGAGGGAACGGTTGACTTGAATCAGAAATAATCGATGCGCTCATTTTACTAATATGTAAAACTGTTTTTCTTGCCCCTTTTGGATTCATGTCTTTTGTTTAATATACACGCAGTTTTTATATCGTTTTATGTTCTATGTCTAGAGAATGTAACTTGTTCTGCTAATATAAAAACCATCGTCTCTGAAATCTGCAGAACTCATCTGACAGAACAACAAAATTTACATACTGAATTTGTCATTGATATTTTTTCGGATCGAAACAACCCCAAAAATTGTATTATTTTTTGTATTAAATAGGAGAAGTTCATTGCACGATTGGGTTGATGGAAAAGCAGTCTGCAAATAATGTGTATTTAACATTTTTAAAATACATTGAGTTATATCCACTGGGTAGTTTTAATAAATAAATTCCTCAAGCTATAACCTTCCGTTGCAGCTTCACGCGTTGAACCGGGGATCAAACCGCCGAGCGTTATTCAGTCGGATGTGAAGTTCAATATGGGTATATCACAATTCGGAATTTGACTGAATCCGAAAGGGTGATTGCCTAATTTATTCGATTGTTAGCACAAACCAAGAGATTCCTATTAATGTTCTCTTATTGGTGTCAGATAATAAGTCTTTCAATGCACAAACGAGCCGAAGCTTCAAAAAATCGATGCTTTGGGTTAGAGTTTTGAGTTTCCTCGAGACTAGTTACCATCTGTTATTATTCTGCGAATAAACGAGCTCTTGATCTTTCCTCTGTTGAATTTTAAAAGTCCAATTTGATCCTAAAGATACACTCTTTTGAAATCTTTGCATTTGATTACGCACGATCACCAGTCTCCAACTTGCGCTCATTCTATGGGAAATCGTTTCAAATGATTCAGGAAAAAACGGTCAGGGATACGAATCAAAACATGTTACTGGATGGTGTGTTGCGCTTGGGCGGCGTTCCGTTTAGAAGTAGTGGTTATTATTTTAAATACTATTCACTCGCTCTTGGGGGAACAGAATAAAATCCAGAGCATGGTGCACAAAAAGTACTAGGAGAATGCAGGAATGATTTTCCTGGAGGCAAGTTGGTTACATACCCATATGGAAAATGACTTTATTCCATTTGACTGATTCGACATTTTCTGATGCCATCAAAATGTGAACTTTCTAAGTAAAGATGGTGTAAAGATAATTCCTTACAGCCGAAAATGCTGAATAAAACTTTTCCGTATTGACAGTTCAATACTTCAAAGATATATTTTATTTTTCCTTTACTACAAAGCCCGTTTGGGCAGTTGGTCTCATCATCGTATTGGCTAACAATGACGTTACCCCAGGGAAGTCAATCTTTCATATCAGTTGGTTTGTAGATTTTTTCTCTTGACAGTTGTCAACAGTTTCCGGTCGGTCTTTGTGCTTCCCTGCCAGTGATTTTATAGCTTCGAAATATCTCAACCAAATTCGGCAAAGTATATTTTGTAAGTTCACCCGACCGACTCGGTGTCCAGTTTCGTGGAATTCTGGTGAGCAACTCTGAAATCGTTGTCCATAAAAAACAGCCCCCCCCCACAGCACGTTGTTATCACCAACTAACAACTCATGACGAAATCCTAAATAACAAACGAGACCTTTTTCGATAAGTTAATTTTCTGGCAGATAAAATTGCATAAATAGATAGCAGGGATAGCACATTCGCATTACGTTTGATTTGTATGAGGATTTGATTGGTAGATCTAGTTAGCTTAATGTGTGTTACAAAAAGTGCGTGCTGGTTAGATGGGAGTAGGGATGAAGCACATGAGGGTAAGGACCGCGCAAGGTTAACCATCGCCTCTTCGGATCACGGGTTTAATCGAAAGGGTCACCTTCAGTCATGGGACTGAATACATACCGGGGATATGGCAGTCTTTAGCGCTTTGACAAATCGCTTTTGGGGAACAAACCGATGGATTGACCGGATGGATGATCTTAGCTGCTGCTAAATAATGACAAAATAGTATTTGATGGATATGTAGGCACTCGGTAGATCATCTTGAAGGTACTTCTTTTCTTTTCCTATTTAACCTATATTTATTTCGT